TGGCGGCGAGAAATCAACCGCCAGCAGCAGATTGCTCTCGAAATGGCAAGAGAATACCAAGCTGTGGAGAAGGCCCGACGCGCTAGAATCCACAACGAGAACCTCAGTCACAAAGAGCAACCGCGGTACCAAAAGTATGAACGATGACTCGCTCGACGATGACTCGGAACCGAAGTCTCTATTTTGACCTGGAAGCCGAGTTTGGCTGTATATGGAGCAAGTGAAGCCAGGATTGGTTAAGAAACTGGCTCACCGATGGCATGGCCCTTTCAGAGTGAATCGGAAGGTCGAAGTGTTCACATACGAGCTCGAGTTACCAGATAAAAGTGGGTATCGGTTCTACCCAGTGGTGCACGTCTCTCGACTGAAGGCTGTAAACGAATTTTGTGAAGGCGCGACTAGCTCGAGATATTGCAGAGGGAGCAAGATTTGACTTTGACGAAGAGCTGTTGCCTGAAGACAGCTGGATGCCAGAAGAAGTTGCTGGTGAATTCGAGATTGAAGCTATTTTGAGTGACAGAACACCCATGCCAGCCAGCACGGATAGATCTGTGCGCAAATTTGAGGTGAAGTGGGTTGGCTATGAGTCAACTACATGGGAACAGGCCTCTATTAACTTGTTGTGTGGAGGGCTCCTGTATGACTATTTGCGGAACAAGAAGAGTGAGCAACGTTTACAGATGGTCCAAGTCGCGGACGAGGACTGAACGTCGAAAATACCATGATGAATGAACTGGTTGTGAGGCAAAGCAGCTCACAATACCAGACGAAAATTGCTACTGCTGTTGTATGTATGAATGAAATGGATATGACATGAATTTCACGAAATGCGATGGAGATGGAAATGACAAAGAAAGAATTAAATGACTAACTACTCTGCAAAACTGTGGAACGCCAAACAAACGACAAACAGGTAACTCAGATTTCGGCGATGACGCCGGACGTGGACGGCGGAGAGGAATCCGCGAAGAGCAGGATCAAAGAAGCTTCAGCTGTTGCATCTTAAGGGTCGACCGGGGTGTCGCCAGAATCTTGGTTCAAGTCCAAAATGGCGGTGGAATCAGCGTCGTCCTCTGCAACTTCACCTTCCCCCATCTCTTCGTCTTCGTCTCTACACGGAAAGCTCGATCCCACGAAGAGTCGATGTCCTCTGGCTTCAAAGACGAATCAGGGACGATCTGTGGACCGAGAGCTTCGACTGTCGAGTTGGCAGGAAGAAAGAGAGGCACGTGAGGGTTGCACGGAACATACACTGTGTTGTATGGGTGCTGCTCAGGGCAAGTCAGCCAGTCCACGCGAAATGGCTCCGACTTGTCCACCAGCGCAGCCTCCGCGCACCAATCCGCCGAACCAGGAACCCACATGAGGTTCTCGATGGTGTAGAACGGCAGTGTCGGGTCCAGCAGAGTCTCAATTGGTAGAGTAGCGTCAGGACAGACGCACCACGGCCACATGCGGCCTGGAAGAAAAGTCCGCAGGTTGTCGGCTCGGGCAGTACGCTCCTTGTTGTACGTGAACCAAACCTTCTTCATACACTCGAGAGCCACCTTGAATTTGCGGCGTTCGTCGGTGTCCTTGGTGGTAGAGAGCCGAGCAGCCAAACGAGACAGGAAACGCTTCAATGCTTCTGGGGAGACCCAGTGCTTGCGCTCGTAAATGGCAAAGCTCTTCACGGCTTGCTTCTCGTTGACATTGCCGCGGAGCCGCCGCCAAACTCCACAGAGCCGCTCCGGGTAGTCGGCTCGCTGGGAAATGTGAGAATCTAGCTGGAAATCCGTGGTGTCAAAAAGGCAGGCGTCCTCAGGCCATAGGTCCATTGCCTTCCGCCACGGGTTATCTGGAGCCATGAACTTGCAGAATTTCCCGACGCCCACCGTCGTACACTTGATTTCAGCGTCGGAATGCACGCGAGAAGGCAACTTCTCCCGAGCTTGACCCAATACGGTGGTGAACTCAGGAGCCCCGTACGGGGTCAGCAAGTCAGAAACGCGCTGGGCAAGCTTGACCAACTCTGGATACTTCGAGATCCAGTCAGGCAAATTCATATCCAATAAAGACTCGTCAGTAGTATCCTGCGACTTTGTCTTCTTGGAGGACCGAGAAGTCTTTGGTGACGACTTGGATTTCTTCTTCGAAGACGTCGCCTTTGGTTTTAGCCGACGACTTCTTCTTCCCAGTCGACTTGGGCGAAACCTTCTTCTTACCCTTAGGCGATGACTTGGAGTCAGCCTTGGTTGTGGAAGCAGACTTGGCCTCAGACTTAGGCTTTGGGAAGACTAAACTGCTTGAGAACTTGCAGCGGACGAACTTACAGAAGCTGGGGCATCGAGCGTATCGTCAGGAAGATATTCTAGACACTGGCTTTCCGGACGAAGTTTGGGCAGCTCGCTCTCTTCATCCTCGTGAGTTTCAGAGCCCTCTGACGCCGACGAAACTTGATCTGAGCTCGGCTCAGACTCGGCCTGAGATGAAACAGAAATGACGTATTCATCCGATGCCGGGCGGCCAGACTTGGCCTTAGCGCCAGTTTTCTTGGGGCGAGACTTTTTCGACTTGAACGAAGACTTGGCCGACTGACCAGGCGAAGACTCGGAAGTGAGAGACTTGATGTCGGAGCGAGAACCTCCAGCCAGGCGAAAGGAGGACCGAAACTCGGAGCTCATGGCAGCCTTGCGCTTTGGAGTGAGGCGAGGAATCGACATCGACTCAGCATCCGACACCGCCACATCTATCTTCTTAGGAGTAAAGCCAGCCTTGTGCTGAGCAGGTGCGGGAACATCCGACTTGCTCGAAGACGACCTGCTTGAAGATGGTTTGCTCGACGACGACTTGGATGACGACTTGGATGACGGCCGATACTTCTCTGCCGGAGTTGGTGGAGAGGTAGGAGGAGAGGCCTTCTGCTTCTTCGGCTGTGGTTGGGAGGTCGCCGCAGGAGAGGAAGTTGCCGAACATTCACGGCCCTCTTCACGAGCATCCTCACCAGAGTCACCACCACCGAAATCCACATCCTCGTCATCGGAGTCAGTACGCCGTCGCTTGGGCTGGACCTTGCCCTTCTTTCCGCCAGAAACTGGTGGAGCGGGAGGTGTGGAGGCAGGCGGAGAGTGGACAGGAGGGACAGTCGACGACTGTGACGATCCTGCAGGTTCAGCTGGAGGTGGCGTCGAATTTGTGCTTGATCCAGCATCACCAACAACAACTGGGGGTCTAGTCCGCGTGACCGAAAGCGAACGAGACGGCGGCAGCGTTGGAGTTGCCACCACCGGCTGCGCAGCGCTCAGAGTCGGGCTTGAGGGCGTGGAAACACTGGAATCCTGAGAAGCCGGAGTGGACGATCGACGAACAGAGACCGTGAGTAGGGGAGGGGCTGACAAACCTGAGGCAGTAGTGGCTTCTTCAGCCTACGCTGCTTCTCAGCGCGCATCTCCGCGAACCGAACCTTCGCGTGAGCGATGTCGTCGGCGAGCTTGTCGTGATCACGGCCATCGTCCAACCCGATCTTGTAAACAGTCTTCAGAGCACGGCGAGTTTGAGAATCACGAGCCAAAGTCTCCCAGTCAATTTTCTCGAGATCGAAGCTATGATCAAGAAACAATGAACGATAAGTCAGCTGAGAGACAGAGGAACATGTGGAAAAGGAGAACTCACCTTCAACCATGAGGACCAAGGCTTCAGGATTCATATTCTCCAGTCGAAGTCGTGAACTTAGAGCCGAGTTGCCTTTCTCGAGACGATTGACTCGATGAACAAGGTCTCGGTTGCGCTCTCGAAACTTGGACGTCAGAGTAGTCTCCTTCGGGTCAGTTTGACACAGAATCTTGTGAAGATTTTCGTAAGACTTCTTGAAAGCTTGAACCCCGACCAAATACTCAGAGCGACCATGATTCACCTCCTTGGTCAGGATCTCATTGCTGCGAATCGCCAACTGGAACCGGTTCTCGAGCCGGTCGTACATCTCCTGATGGCCCTTGATCACGGCGTTCATTTCGCTGACCTGGACGTTCAACGAGGCCTCGCGCGACTTGACCAACTTGATCTCTTTGTGTGCAGCATCGCGGTCAGCCGAAAATTGCTGAGCCCAAGTCTCCGCATTAGTGCGAGCACACTGTTCCGAGAAGAGCTTATTCTCCATACGGTGCGGGATGCTTCAGCCGACTTGAGAGCCGCTTGATCGCTTGAGCTGCGACTAGCTGTCGTCCAACTTCTGTTAGCGCGTCAGCTGGAACTGGCTCGTTGCATGAAAGAACGTCTTCGAAAGACCGTGCGGCATCCAGTCGACACTTGAAATTGGTACGGCCACGGACGTTCGGACCCCAGTGGAGAGTCGCGTAGAAGCGCAACATCTCCGCGAGCCGGCCGTCAATCGCTTGGCAGACGT